GGGTAGATGAGGGTGAACGTGGTAGAACATGGCTAACCAAGGGTAGATGAGGGTGAACGTGATAGAACATGGCTAACCTAGGGTAGTTGGTGGTAAACGTTGGAGAACATAGCTAACCATGGGTAGATGAGGGTGAACGTGGTAGAACATGGCTAACCAAAGGTAGATGTGGGTAAACGTAAACTGGTCTTCGCGTACTACGTCGAATAATTCGAAGCTTCAACATCTCCTTCCCTCCCCGGCAACCTTCAGGGCATTTGAACTTTTCAAGATTGTTTTGTTCAAATTCCCGCCCGCCCGGGAATAAATTGTTTAAGTACCCCATCTAATTACTTTGTGATAGGGAAAGTCAGCGACCGTGGCTTTCTTCACATTGACCAAGATTTTACACCTACACACCTTGTAGACCTCATCTTCTGAACCATTCATTCGCAAAAGTGAACTATTTAACTTTAAACACCTCTATATTTAAGGATATAATACTTGTTTTCTGCGAGAAAGATCTGGCATTTCCTGTTCCACCCCAGCTAGGCAAGGTTCAAGTCCCCCACCCCCACGGAAACAAAAACATTAACAACGGTCAAATGCCCATTCAGACTCACCACACACGACACAGGCATGTTGCTTTTAGGAATAAGTATGAATGTGTCTGAGAATTAATTTGTTCCTTTTTCCTGTGCTGTGAGCTTGGGATGGCTATGGAGTAGCCAACAATTCCCAAAAGTTGTCTGACTCAGAACCCATCACCAGTAAGACTCACCACACACGACACAGGCGCGTTGCTTTTAGGAAAAAGTACGAATATGTCTGAGAATTAATTTGTTCCTTTTTCCTGTGCTGTGAGCTTGGGATGGCTATGGAGTAGCCAACAATTCCCAAAAGTTGTCTGACTCAGAACTCATCACCAGTACCCTTTATAATTATCTCTACCAGATAGGATGAACCTGGGAACACTGGGAACTAAAACCAGTTTTGTCTCAGGTTTGTACAAAAATGGCAGACAAGCGTGACAAGAGCAACACTTTAGGTATTGTTTTCTTTCCTGCATTTACTTTTTTCATTCTTGATTATAAACAAGGATAGCAAATGGTACCTCACTAACTTTCTATGTGATCTCAAAATTCATTCACATGCATAAAATGTTTTGTTTCCCATTTCATTCCCTTAACAAGATTCCAGTACATCGCCATGCTTCATCGTGCATGCAATGTTTAGATGAAACAAAACAATAGCAAAGCAATTGCTTGATTACCTGTAAGACTATGGCTTTGTTATGGAACAGTCTGGGATCATAGATGGCTTGGATGGTGTTGTTGACACAGAGCAATTCGTTTTGATCTTGAATGTTTCTCAAAATGGGAATGGAAGTTATATGTTATGCAATGTGTTAGTAATACTTTTGAATGGAAAATTACTGACTAGTTTTTGTTTCATTTAAACAGCGGAGCATTTGAAACAAGAGATAGTGCACAAAATTCAGAGTGGAATAGTTGGTAAAGAAGTAAAAGTTTTTGAAAGACTACTTGGAAAGGAAACTGCAGAATTGTTCCTTGAGAAATACGCTGAAAAGCATGGCAGACTTACCACAGAGAATTTGAAATCTCTGCTGAGTCATCTCCATGGTGTAGGTATGCTTATTTGTTCCTCAAAGGAACCACATAGTACTATCATTTCACATTAAATTTTTAGAATACTTTTGTTTCATTTAACTTGGGAAGGTTATAGCAGAAGTGAAAGTGAATCTTTTTGGCAGGAGCCATCCCCCCTTTACTAAGATTAAAGTAATTCAGTCTTGGTATCTAGACCTAGTGTGCAAAGTAAATAAGGATAAACAGTCCATTTCCCCACTTCTGCCAGAAGCAGATAGTTAATCAACAATCAACAGTCAAGCCCTCGACAACAACATGGCATGTTGACAAACCAAAGATTATGGGAAGAATTTGTTGTGGTTTCATTTACAAACTGAAGGCTTGTAAATAACTAACCATATTTAATTGAGTAAGTGCCCTTGGCACTTATTAAATTTTTGGACCTTGCAAATGGACCTTTATTCAAAACTTTTGGAAAGTAGTCAGTTTATTATGCAACAAAACAATTAATGATATTAAAAATCACGTTGACTTAACAAGTGATTGGCTCTCTTTCCAGTGGTAACTTGTCATTTGACTTCTCTTGGTGGGCTTTCACAGTCAAAACCCTGTCACCAAAGTTTTTCCTCACTTC